GCCTCTCTCTGCAGCTAATTAAGGCCTTCTTGAAGCATCTCATTTACTAAATTAGATCCCCCTTGTTTTAAAATTAATGGCAAGCTCGGAAAACAACAAAAAAAAGACTGTTTAAAATTGCAGCACAGGAGACGGCAGAGTGAGAGCAAGAGCAGCAGCTGGGGAGAGGCGTGGGTTTTAGTTTCGCTCAGCGCATTTGCTCACCAGAAAACCCCACTGAGGGCGACTGCGGGAGCGGGATGGGCCTTTTCTTCTGAGGCACTGCTTCCCTCCCTGCTGGGGACTGGATCAGGCTCCACATCCCAGCGTGAGTCCCTGCGGTGGCTCTCCAGCCCTGTTAAAGACTTGTTATGGGTAAAACTTCAGCTGGAAATTCGCTGTGCTATGGGCAGGGGGGGAGTATGGGAGCCCTTGGGGGGGCCAAGGCCACTGATCTATAATTCAGCAGGTTTTGCCTTGCTAGTTGTTGCTTACAGAAAGGATTTAGCAAAATCTTTTAATCAATAATTAGTGAGATTTCCTGCCCCTGAAGTCAGAGATGTGCCTGTGCTGTGCACACCCAGACCTGAGCCGAAACAAGACCCCAGCTCGTGGCCCAGCACGACCTGCCCCAAGGCGAGTCTGTGGAAAGCTCGGTCTGGTGTCCTGTGACCAAGGGACGGGCTTTACCTGTAGGATGTTGAGATGGATTTCAAGCCCTGTGGAAAGCATTGCCCTGCCACCCCTCTTCCCTGACAGCCACCCCACCCAAAATGTGGCATTTAGCAGGTTCAAACCTGGGAGTGCAACTGGGACAGGCGCTCCTGTGTTACCCCGTCATTCAGTCCAGACTCAGTCACTGCTTAAGGGTGTGATTTACCAACTACTGGAATCAATAATTACTGAGACTTGAGCTTTCTCAGTGGAAAAAAAAGCAAGCATCCTTCCTGGCAGCAGGTCTCGGTCCTTGGGGCATTTTTGGCTGGCAGAGACTCAGGCAGTTGCTCTCCTGGGCGAAAGCCCCGGCAGCACCATGAAGCCAGGGCTGAGGGTGCTGTGGGCAGGAGTTTGCCGGGGAATAACTTTGCTTGAGTGTGGAAAGGGGCTCAGCACCAGGGTGGAGGAGCTGGTGTGATCTCTGGGTCCATATTCCCTCAACAGCATGTGGCCGTGCTGCAGGGACCCTCACCTCCCGGCCCCCCAGCCGCAGCCTGGCAGCCCCCCAGCACCACCTCTGCCAGCACTCTGCCACTGCCGGCTCTCTCTGACTAAGCAACTGTGTCTTAAAGGAGCTCATCTTGAAATAGAGCAGCACAGATCCCCCCGTAACTCTTCCTTCTTTCCCCTGGCTCTGATGCAAGCTGAGCATCCTGCTGCTGGCTCCTTCCCTGGGGCCAGCAACAGCCCAGGGGGCTGCAATCTGGCCTGGGCAGGGATTTGCTCTGTGGGGATGGGATTTCCTGATAAAACCCCAAGCCTGTCACCCTACACATGGGCAGGGACACTGGGACTGCCTCCGTCGGCCCAGTCCCCTGTGCAGGGTGATGGGGAGGAGGTTTGCCCCATGCACAGGGCTGTGCCATGGCAGGATCTCCCTTGCCTGGATGGGGAGCCAGATAAAGCCAGAATAAAGCCAATAAAGTTGTTTTGGAGCACGAGGTGCCCCTTGGCACCAACGGTGGAGTCCAGGCCCTGCTGCCAGCTCCCTGCCAAAAAGCAGGAGGGAAGGAGGGCAGGGGCAGACCAGGGCTTACATCCCCACCTCTGCCCCTCCTATCTGTGCCCTGCCAGGACTGCATAGTGCCCATGGCCCCCCCCAGGTCTGACACACATCCCCCCAGGTCTGACACACATCCCCGCAGGGCTGGCACACATCCCTGGAGCTGCTCGGGCTGTCTGGGGAAGGCTCGTGCTGTCCCTCATCAAGGACAAAACGCCTGGTGCAGCCAGCAAAACCCCAGCAGCCCTGGAGTGGGGCACCCCAGGGCTGCCCCAGGCACGGCGGGTGTGAGGCTTTGCTGGGGGCTGTGCTGCGGGGGCTGAGCCCCTGCCTGCACTGCCCAGGGCGACCCCCTTCAGTGGCATGCAGGCAGGGAGGCAGGCTGGCAGAGGCCTGGGGCACTCGGTGCACCTCCCCAGTGCCCCACATCCCCAGGGGCTGCAGGGTCACCAGGCTCTGAAAGAGAAACGGCAGCCGCAAACAGCCCAGCTGCTTGAAAAAACCCTGATTTTAGTGCACATGGAGATAACACCAGCATGGGAATGGGGTGCAGGGGGCAGGAGATGTGGCCATCCACACAGAGCTCAGCGGCAGTGTCTGGGTGACCCCTGGGTTCAGGGGACATAAGCAGGGCAGGGGAGAGTGTTTTGGACATGGGGACATGTGGACAGCATGGAGCGATGAGCTGCTGTCTGCAGCAACAATGGGGAGGGATGGGGACAGGGATGGCAATGCCTCAGGCTGGAGCTGCAGATCTGGCTGTGGACCTGGAGCTGGCTGGAGAGCTGCACACTCTGCAGAAATACACACTGGGAAAAGCACCTTATCTGAGTAAAGAGTAGCATCTTCCCACCAGCATAGCCTTCTGAAATGCTAAAACACTGTGTTGTTGTTGCTGGGAGGTCTCCAGCACTGCTGGGGACATGGGGCTCCTTTTGCCAGCAGTAGGACTACTGCTTTGTTCAGGCCATCACTGCCCACCCTGGCATGTCCATGTGAGCAAGAGATGGATGAAAGAAACCTAATTCCACTCAAAGTTCCTCTTCAGTGTTTGCTTTCCTGGCAGGCTTGGAGTTGCTGTTTCAGTGCTCATTCCCTGGGAGGCTCCACTCCCTTAGACGTTTTGCCAGACAAGGAACAATGCAGATAGCAGAAACTGCCCCCTCAGATCTTGTCTCATAGAGTTTGAGTTTGGCAGAATATTTTTGGTTTCATTTTGGCTTCATTTCCTGAGAAATCTTCAAGTGGTTACTGAAAGGCTGAGTAAAAAAGGAGCGTTAAAGACATGGCGTGGGCAGTTCCATCAGAGCTTTCTGGGATGGACGGAGGTGTGATGCGTAGGATGGATGTAGATGCTCAGGCGGGTAAGATGGATGGAGATGCTTGGGTGGGTAGGATGGATGAAGGCGTTGAGGCGGACAGGACAGAGGTACTGGGGTGGACAGGACAGATGGACACAACAGGGAAGACACACAGCTGCCAGAGCTGCACAGAATGGCGATTTCTCTTCCAGCTGCTGGGGGCTTTGCCCCAAGCAAGGCCAACATGGGGAGTGTCTATCCCATGGTGAAGGTGTTGGCTGTTCCCTGCCTTCTCAGGGCAGCCAATTGTCAGCAGGAGTGCAGGAGGAGCCATGGTGGTTACGGGTGTCCAGGTCCCTGGGACAGGCACAGGGGCTGCCCCAAGTGGGGCTGCCCTCTGCACCTCACTGGGGATCACACCCCATGGCTGGGCTCCTGCAAGTCTGGTCATCTCTCCTGTGCCCCAATATCTTTACAGGCTGGGGGATGAAGGAATTGAGAGCAGCCCTGCAGAGAAGGACTTGCGGGTACTCGTGGATAAAAAGCTGGACATGAGACAGCAACATGCACTCGCAGCCCAGAAAGCCACCCGTGTCCTGGGCTGCATCCAGAGCAGGGGGGGCAGCAGGTCGAGGGAGGGGATTCTCCCCCTCTGCTCCGCTCTGGTGAGACCCCCCTGCAGTGCTGGGTCCAGCTCTGGGGCCCTCAACAGCAGAAGGACACGGACCTGCTCGAGCAGGGCCAGAGGAGGCCATGAAGATGCTGGGGGGGCTGGAGCAGCTCCCCTGGGAGGCCAGGCTGAGAGAGTTGGGGGGGTTCAGCCTGGAGAAGAGAAGGCTCTGGGGAGACCTTAGAGCAGCCTCCCAGGGCTTAAAGGGGGGAACAGGAAAGGTGGGGAGGGACTCTTGGTCAGGGGGTGTAGGGATAGGATGAGGGGTAACAGTTTTAAACTAAAGAAGAGTAGATTTAGACTAGATGTAATGAAGAAATATTTTATAATAAGGATGGTGAAACACTGGCACAGGTTGCCCATGGAGTGGTAGATGCCCCCTCCCTGGAAGGGGTCAAGGCCAGGTTGGATGGTTCTCTGAGCCATTTGATGTAGTTGCAGATGTCCCTGCTCATTGCAGGGAGGGGTTGGACTAGATGGTCTTTAAAGGGCCGTTCCAACCCAAACCTTTCTATAACTCTATATTTCTGTGTCCCCAGAAGATACCTGCAGGGATATATGGCAACCCAAAGCCTGATGAGGCCAGGCAGCCCAATGGCATTGACAGCCTGGGGAGGGGGAAGCGGTGGGGCTATCCCCCCTTTACCAACAGGCTAGCAAGGGGTCACCTCCCCCAGAACTGCACTCAGCTTGGCTGGGTGCTGCCACCCCTGTCCCCAGGGTGGCTCCTGACAGCGCTGCTGGGGTGACCACAGCCGAACACAGGTGCTCTCAGCGTAGCCGTGGCCGTGAGCTGCTCTGTGCAGGGGACAGAGAAACTTTCCCAGGACTGTGCCAGGGATGGGGACAGGGCATGTGTCACGCAGGGACCCACAGTGCTCTGGCACAGGGTGCAGGGGACAGACTGGTGCATGTGCATGACTGGCAGCTACACCAGCACTCCCATCCCAGGGGACACAGGGGTGACTGAGGAAACGGGGTCAGATCCAGGGGTGGCCGGCAAAGGGACGTGGCTGGCCGTGGCCCCCCCACAAGCCATGTGTCCCTGCAAGGGACCTGGCACCCAGAGGCCAGCAGGCAAGGGAGGAGGATGGCACAGCCAGGGCCATGTGCTCGCTGCTGGCATGGGGGCTTAGAGCAGGCTGCTGCCCCTTGGTCTTGTCAGCGCCAGGGGGGTTCGTTGGGGTCCCCCAGGGGCAAGGAGCCCCAGCAATGTGTGTGTGTGTGTGCGTGCACATGCATGTGTGTGTGTGTGTTCCCATTCCACCCTCCTCCATACCGGTGCCACTGGGGCGATGCCGGGCGCATTGGAAGGACACAGAGACAGGGATGCTGAGCCAGCGCTAGTTCAGTGTCAGTGTTTATTCGTGTGACACTCGGGGTGGGGGGACAGGAGCAGAGGACAGAGGGACATGGGGAGACACATCTGCAGCGGGGGGGGGAGCCGCTGCCCCCAGCAGCGGGGAAGAGGGAGGGGGCTGGCGAGGGGGCTGCCGGGCGCGGGGAGGTCCCAGCGGGGTCACTAGCACTCGGATCTCTTCAGGCTCTTCACCACGTTGCCGGCCTCGTGCGTGACCTTGCAGGTGTAGGTCTCGTGGCTCTTCCAGTCGCTGGCACTCAGCGTCAGGTAGCTGCTGGCCATGTACTGGTTGTTGCTCTGCCGCTGGGGCTGGCTGGTCTCCACGCCACTGGTGAGGGTGCGGCCGTCGGCCGTCCAGGCCACCTGCACGGCGCTGGGGTAGAAGTCTCCCAGCAGACACACCAGGGTGGCTTTGCTCTGAGACGAGATCTCCTCCTCAGATGGTGGGAAGAGGTGGACGGTGGGAGAGACCTTGGGCTGGCCTGCGAGGGGGAGAGAGTGGCGTGGGGTCAGGGGGGACCCTGTGCCCCACCACAGACCCCTGCCCGCCCTGCCTGCCTGCATTGTATATATCAAAATATATGTGTATATATGTGCGTGTAACACATATACACCTATAAATACATCCCATATGCATTTGTATGCTATATATACACTATACATATATATATGTGCTTATGCACATTATATATTATAGATGTCTATATATGTAGCTAATATACATCTTATATGTGTATATTATATATTACATATATAAAATATACAGTATACTACATATATATGTAGTATACATTTTAATATACATATCTGTATATTATATAAATGCTATATAATTATACATATATGTATAGTTATTTATATAATATACTGGTTTATGTATTTTCATGTATTTCACATATTAAAATATATATGTTGTATATATGAATATATATGGAATATATATATAAAACAAAATCTCTGGTTAGTTGCCATAAACATATTTCATTCATTTTGAAAGGCAATTTTTTAAAAAAATCAACATTTCAAAGACAAACCATCCTGTTTTCTGCCCAGTTCTGCTTTCAGACACTTTCAGACCTGTCTCAGAAAAAGTACAACTGCGAATCACTCGAAGACAGAGAAAAGATGTTTGGTCTTTCTGAGGTGGTTCTGCTGCCTCCTTAAATGTACAGTGTCTCTATCTCTGTCTCTATTAAAAAAACAGGAGGACTCCACTGTTAAAAACTTTCCGCTGAAGAAATTGTCAAACTACATTTTTCTTGATCTTGTGTCCCTAATAATTTGGTTCAGATTGGGATTTTTGGCCAAATTCTTTTAAAAATTAGACAAAGTCAGTCAAACAATGTTCCCGGCAGCATTTTCAACACAATAATGTCAATTTTTGACATGTCTTACCTGGACAACGGGTTCTTTAAGATACCCCTGAAAACTTCTGGTTAAGATCCCAGGGACGTGCCATTTTAACACAAAGTCAGATGTGACTCCAGCCTGCTTGCGGCTGAGGAAGGGCTGCCATTTCGCAGCGCCCGCACCCTCGGCCACGGGACCCCTCAGAGAAGCCTCAGCTCCTCACCAAGGGTGACAGACTTAGTCCTCAGGACTAAGAGCGGAGGACTTAGACCTTAGACCTTAAACTAACAACTAATTTATTCAACAAAGACAAAAATTGACTTTCTTAGAGACCTAAATCTGAGATTCTGAAATAGTCTCCCTGAGACCTCAGACACATTTCCTGACCAAATTTTAAGATCTTTCAATTGAGAAAATAGCCCCCAGTCCTTCATGGCACGCACCAAAGCCCTCCAAGTCCACGAGGGACAAGCCAGTCCTCAACGCTGCGCCTAATGCCTGTCCCTGAACTGGCGGCAGACCCCAGCCCAGCGCCAAGTCCGAGGAAAAAACCCCAAAATCACCAAAAATCGACAAAATGTCACAATTTCACGGTGGGGAAGGAAAGACCGAGAAGAAGTCGGCGACTCACCTAGGACGGTCAACATGGTCCCGGCCCCGAATATACCACACAGTGATACAGGGCTGTGCAAAAACCTCCTGTCTCATGGCAGGAGCAGTCCTGGGATCCATGGATGTGGCAGGATGAAGGTGGTGAGAAAAAGGTGTCCCGGTGGACACGTCAGGATGAAGGTGATGAGATGGAGGTGTCCCGATGGACATGGCAGGGTGAAGGTGATGGGATGGAGGTGTCCCGATGGACACGTCAGGATGAAGGTGATGAGATGGAGGTGTCCCGATGGACATGGCAGGGTGAAGGTGATGGGATGGAGGTGTCCCGATGGACACGTCAGGATGAAGGTGATGGGATGGAGATGTCCTGATGGACATGGCAGGGTGAAGGTGATGGGATGGAGATGTCCTGATGGACACAGCAGGCTAGACGCATGGTGCTGGATGTGCCTCGGTGGATGTTGCAATGCTGGAGCAGCGGGACAGCCATACAGGGACAACTGTGTGTCCTTGCTGGAGGGGCCACGGCAAAATAGGCGGCCTTGGCCCTGCCATCCCTCATGGAGAGCATTGGCCAGGCTCTCCAGAGCCGTGGCTGCATTGTTGGCTGCTCCAGGGGTCCACTGCTACCCAGGACCGCACGCCTTGTGCTCGTTACAAGCCCGTGACCCTGCCTTCGATGTGGGGATGTTAATCCCAGGTGAGGAAGGGCTGATGGAGGTTTTAGGTGCCCCTATGGCATGATGGGCAGCACCTTGCCTCAGCCTGCCCTGCTGCCATGCATCTGGCTGTGGGCTGCCCTGGGGGGGCACCGGCCACCGGCCTGCCACCCCTCAGGCCATACTGCGGCTCTGATTGGGGTGAACGGGGACCTCCAGCCATCAGACAGTATGTGTGTGGGTAAACCTCATGAATAAACCATCCATACATCCTTCCCACTGCCCAGAAACACCAGCGCTGGTGTAGGTGCTGTGGTTTTGTAGGGGACCCCACCTCCTGGCACCCGTGCCACCCTGCAGCCTGGCCCTGTTCTCCGGGGCAAAACCGGACCCCGGCAGAGCCCACAGCCTTACCTGGGCAGGATTTTCAGTGCCTGGCATGCGGGCAAGCCTCCTTGCGGCAGCTCTGCCGGGGTGCCCTGCAGTGGGGCAGCCCATAGCAGGGGAGTGGTGCAGCCCCAGCTGCCGTCACACTGCTCCCACCCTGAGCTCGGGGCTGGGCACGGGGCACTGGACCATCCTGCCGAGGGGAAATAAGCACTTCCCTTCATCACATCTGGCATCTCAGCACCAGCAAGGGCACTGGTGCGGGGTTGGCTCCAGTCGGGGGGAGTTCAGAGCTCCCCTGATCCAATGCAGGCTGCCAGCTGTGACCATACCATAGAGCATACCTGGGAGCTTCTCCTTAGGAGAAAGAGAAACGTTAAGAAATTTCTGTTTCATAAACTCCAATCTAATCTGGCTGTCTGGCAAATATATAGATATGCTTTTACCCATTAACTCCTGGACTCAGACAAGTTGAACAAGACCCATGGGATCAGTACAGGGTCTGCAGATTTGAAAAGACCAAAAATGTTTTGCAAGCAGCAAAACCCATTATCTGGTCAAGTCTTGTTTCCTCCTGTCAAGGAAGCATATGTTTCAGTGTGGTTAGACAGATAGAGGACATGGTACTATAACCAAATGGAGATGTTGCAGAAAGGAAAAAAAAAAGCACCTCAAACCCCAGGAAGAGTCCATACAGCCCCCAGCACTGGGAAGACCATGTGTGAGAATCAGTGACTTACTGAGGATGGTCAGCTGGGTCCCACTGCCAAAGAAATAAACACAGTGACACATTTCTGTGCACCCTTCTCTCCCAAGGGCTATCCAGCAGCTGTGCCACCATTGGCCAGGGTCTTGGCTGAAATCACATTTCAATTGCCCTCCAAACACCTCCTGTACAAACTGCTCACTGAATCACAAGTTTTAGTGAGGGTGTCCGCCCTGCTGTTTGAGCAAGTCTGCCTTTGGTGGCCTTACAATCAGTTCCACCCTGTCTCTGGGGAGTGGGTGGCAGCTCTCCGGGCCCAGCTTCACCCTGTTTGAGCACCGCAGCACTCCTCTGCAGCGCTCCTCCCCGGGCTGGGCTGTGCGGAGATGCCAGAGGTGCTCTGAGCACAGGGTGGGGTGGCCTGGGCTATGGGCAAGCTAGGGGCCAGTGGGGGTGTGAGGAGCACAAAGGAAAGGGCAAGTGAGAGCAGCACATCCCAGTGCATGCGTGTGCGGAGGGGGAACACGCATTACTGCCGGGGTGAGTGCAGTGGAGGTCAGGCAGCCTGTGTGCTGCTGGTCCTGCCCCGGGCACCCTCCAGCCTTCGAGAGCTGAGCTGGACAGTGCTGGAGCAGCCTTCAGAGCACTTAAATGGATCTCACCCGGTTCTGCTGAAGTGGTGGCTGCTTCCCAAGGCACCAGGAGTGGCGGATGATGCTGCTCCAACAGCTAAGCCAGCTCCAAAAGAGCAGGGAGGAGCAGCATGAACAGAAGGACATGGCAAACATATTTTCCTTGCAGAGGAGAGAGGGAGACTGCAGAGACCTGTAGGTTTGCTCCAAGAACCATGCCAGCAGTATCCCCCACCCACCCAGGAACTCGGCTTCCTGCAGAGCTGCCCCTGCCCATTCTGCATCCCCCAGGATGCTGCTCCTCATAGCGCCTTGTTAGCCCCTGCCTTCTCAGCCTCTTGGAGCAGCAGCCCTTGGGTGACGGCTACCTGGAGCATCTGCCAAGAGCCATGGCACACAAAGTGGCTTGGAGAGGAGGCATCGCTGTTGGTAAAGAGGAAGAGCTGGGACTAGCAGAGAAAACCATGCAAGAGAAGCGGATGCCTACACAGAGCTTCAGTAGCCAAGGCAGGGGTGAGCCAAGATGGGTTTCAGCTAAAATGGATTAACTTCAAATTCCCCAGGGAAGACTTAGCTATTGCTTTCTAAAGTGTTTTCTCAGCACAGTGCCAATCTCACAGGGCACAGGGTGCTCAGCTCCAAGCAAAGAAGCTCTTGGAATGCTGAATTTCAATAGCACCAACTTAAATTGAACTCGAAAATATTCAAATGCTGTGGTTTGTGCAAGTGGTTATAGAAAGAGGCAGACTCAGTGAACCTCCTCAGTCACTAGAAAATAAATAATGCTTCGAAGATTTTGTGGTTATAGGCACTTCCTGTTTCAGAGGTTTGGTTTGCCTCTGGGTAAGCTTATGCATTGGTGCAAAGGCCGAGACTAGCCCAAAAAAACCCCACTGAAATTGTCTATGCAAAGCACTCAGCTGAAGCCAGTGCCATATATTGTGGACAGCCAGTTTCTGACCATTTCTCAGTCTTCGATGGGGCTTTGGTTCCATGTTAAGGGAGGACAATAAAGGGGGACAACATTTAGCTTGAATGTCCAACTCTTCTCCATTGAGGGAGGCATGGAGGAGGACTGATGTTGTGCTGGATGTACCAGGGGAGTTGGACCTTCAGCGCATGCCTGGTACATGGCCTTGGCAGGACCAGGGGCAAGTGGGAGGGTGCTAGTCCCCAGGGGGCACTGGGGAGGCTGTGCATGACTGCTGCATCCCAGCTGCAGGAGCTGAGCAGCAGAGGCCATGCCAGGCACTCTCTGCTGCTGCCACGTTGCTTGCCCAGACATGCCAAGAAGCAAATGAGAAGAGGAACGGTAGGATGTACCAAGCTACCTTGCAGCATAAGCCATCCCGAAAGTGCCCTGACATGGCTTGTCATGGCAAATATCAACCACCAAGGAACAGTTTCCTTTATGGACGAAAATCAGCAATGTCAGGGGTAGCAGGCAGACAGTGCCCCACGGCTACTGGCACAACTGGGCTGGGAGGAGGGCAGAGAGGAATCCTGCAGGTCCATGGGTGTGAGCTGGGTAGCGCAGGGGATCTTGGACCCGCAGGGTTGCTGTCAGAAATGCCCTCCCCAAAATGACAGGGGACAACAGGCACAGCTACCTGGAGAACAGGGCAGCAAGGACAAGAGCATGGCAGGGACCAGACCACCAGCAAATGGGGACAACACAGAATCCTATCTGGCCTCTTCACTGGTTGGAGGTTTTTGTATCACTTCCCCATTGCTCTGTGCCAATGTGTCAGCACTGCTGCTGCTGTCCCAGCTACCACAGTAATAGACAGCCTCGTCCTCGGCTTGGACCCCAGTGATGGTTAACGTGGCTGTGGAGCCAGACTTGGATCCGGAGAAGCGCGAAGGGATGCCCGAGGGTCTCTTGTCATTCCAGTAGATCACGGTGACAGGGGCAGTGCCAGGGACCTTCTGCTGGAACCAGCCATAGCTGTAGCTGCTGCCAGAGCAGGTGATCTGGACGGTTTGTCCCGGGTTCGCTGACACCGAGGGCGGCTGAGTCAGCGCTGCCTGGACCAGGGAACCTGGAGAGGGAGAGGAGAGAGGGGAGAAGACGCGGGTCAGCCAGTGCCCCTCCAGCACAGCCCTCCCCGGGCAGTGGGACAGGGATCTGGCCCCTGTGCCCCCCGTCCCCGGCCGGGCGCAGCCAGTCTGTCCAGGGCACCTGAGCTGTGGGCGAGCACCGCGAGGAGGAGAGCGGCCAAGGCCATGGCGCGATCCCACCAGCTCCGTGTCCCCACGCCGATGGGGCTGTGCCGTCCACCCTGACTCCCTTTTAAGCCCCCACCCGCCCGGGCACGGCCCCTCCATGCAAATCTCACCCTGCGCTCACAGCCCCATCCCGACCCTGTCTCCCTCCCCACCTCCCGCCCCGCTCCACGCCCAGCCCCACCACCCCAGATGCAGCGGGGCTTGTCCCCGGGCACAGAGCGGAGACAAGTCCCAGCTCAGAGCCAAAACCCACCAGTATGGACACCACATCCCCAGACTGGGCCGAGCAGCGCCAGGGCCAAAGGGCACGGGACAGCCGGGCTCCTGAAGGAAAAGGGGCAAGTGGCACTCCCACATCCCCCCACGGGTTGTGGGGAGCAGACAAGCTGCTGCCTGTGCCAGGGATGGCAGGACAAGGGCTTTCCAGGGCTACTGCCACTGGGGTGGGTTTTTGGGTTCCAGCTGGGCCCAACAGAGCACTCCGGTGGTGAAAGGGATGGGAAGAGGCAGGAGTAAAGCCCCCATTCCATCCCTGCAAGATCCTCAGCTGAACATTGTCTCTGACTGATGAGCACCCAGGACCTGAACCTGGAGTGGGCGAGCGGAGCGGGGCTGGGAGCGGGTCTCGTTGGGGCGGCACACAGTAGACTGGTCCCCAGGGGACCGACCGCAGGGTGATGGTGCAGGCCTGCCTGAGTGTTCCTGGCCCATCCCATGGAGCATGGCCCCCAGCCCACCCCACAGTCCTGGGCACAGACCTTGGGGATGAGGCCACCTGGGAGCCAGCTGCCCACATAACAGACACTGACACCACAAACGCAGACCCCGCGGGGCCAGCACCCTCCCCCAGAGCCTGGCACTATCACACCCTCGATGCCCACCCTAGTCCTGTCACACACGTGGGCACACGGGAAATGTCACTGCTGAAAACAAGCAGCAGCCCGTGACACGGGGGAGCTGGAGCCCTTGTCCCCAGAGGTATCCCCGGTGCCCGTATCCTGCATCGCAGTGGTAACAGGGTCAGCAGGGTGCTGGGCAGCCCCTTGCTGTCTTGGGGCTGTAGTGGGACACTGGCCAGGGCCAGAGCTACTGGGGGGGGCTGCTGCACAGGCTGAGCACGAGCCCAAGGAGCCGGCACTGGGCAAACACAGCCAGCGCTGGAGCCCCCGTGGGTTCCTCTTGCAGCACAACAGAGAATCCCCCGGGCAGCCCTGCTCTGCCCCAGTAGCCTCACACATGGCCCTGGAGCTGCCGTGCCCACGGGAAATGCCCCATGCCAGGCTTTGAAGGCAAAGCTTTGGCCCAGCTGCCTGGCCCCTGGTATGTTTCCCCCCTCTTGCTGCTGGGGCCGCTACTTCCACATCAGGGCTGAACCCCCCGCGGGATGCCCCAGGGCTCCTGGCACAGCTGGGCTGGCAGGAGGGCAGGGAGGCACCCGCAGGGTCCTCGGTGCCAGCCGGGGAGAGCAGGGGACCTGAGACTCCCAGGGCTGCTGGGGGTCATCTCGTCCCCAAAGGACAGGGGACGGGCACAGAGCTGGGGCTCTAAGGGACGACCGAGCTGGGACAGCAGGCACAGCCACTTGCAGCACAGGGCAGCAAGGACAAGAGCATGGCAGGGACCAGACCCACCAGCAAATGGGGACAAGAGAGACTCCTATCTGGCCCCTTCACTGGTGGGAGGTTTTTGTAACACTTCCCCATTTTCCTGTGCCACCGTGGCACCAGTATAGCTGCTGTCGTAGCCACCACAGTAATAGACAGCCTCGTCCTCGGCTTGGACCCCAGTGATGGTTAACGTGCCCGTGGAGTCAGACTTGAATCCGGAGAAGCGCGAAGGGATGCCCGAGGGTCTCTTGTCATTCCAGTAGATCACGGTGACAGGGGCAGTGCCAGGGACCTTCTGCTGGAACCAGCCATAGTTGTTGCTGCTCCCAGAGCAGGTGATCTGGACGGTTTGTCCCGGGTTCGCTGACACCGAGGGCGGCTGAGTCAGCGCTGCCTGGACCAGGGAACCTGGAGAGGGAGAGGAGAGAGGGGAGAAGACGCGGGTCAGCCAGTGCCCCTCCAGCACAGCCCTCCCCGGGCAGTGGGACAGGGATCTGGCCCCTGTGCCCCCCGTCCCCGGCCGGGCGCAGCCAGTCTGTCCAGGGCACCTGAGCTGTGGGCGAGCACCGCGAGGAGGAGAGCGGCCAAGGCCATGGCGCGATCCCACCAGCTCCGTGTCCCCACGCCGATGGGGCTGTGCCGTCCACCCTGACTCCCTTTTAAGCCCCCACCCGCCCGGGCACGGCCCCTCCATGCAAATCTCACCCCGCGCTCACAGCCCCATCCCGACCCTGTCTCCCTCCCCACCTCCCGCCCCGCTCCACGCCCAGCCCCACCACCCCAGATGCAGCGGGGCTTGTCCGCGGGCACAGAGCGGAGACAAGTCCCAGCTCAGAGCCAAAACCCACCAGTATGGACACCACATCCCCAGACTGGGCCGAGCAGCGCCAGGGCCAAAGGGCACGGGACAGCCGGGCTGGAGGGGGCAAAGAGGGGCAGGCAGCACTCGCAACTCCCAGTGATGGGGCTGGGACCACACCAACCGACAGCTCTCCCCACCCCACTTTCAGCCTCTTTCTCTCCTGCGGGTGTCCCAGCTCCCTAAGGTACCTTTGTGCTCTGCTGCTTTTCTGCCCTGGCTCTTCCCCTGCCCACCCAGGCCAGCACTCAAGACCCTTGCTCTTCCGAACCATCCACTTCCCAGCACAACAGGACCTGTCTGGCACCGCGCCCCGGGGGCTCCAGCAATGCCACCCCTTGAGTCACGAGCCCAAGGGGCCGGTGCTGGGCCAACGCAGCCAGAGCCAGGGTAGCTCAGGGGCTCTGCTCACAGACAGTGGGGCAGCCCCTGGCCGGCCCCGCTCCAACCCAGGGCACAGGGATCGTGGTCGTCTTGGGCAGCCTGGCCCAAATTAACCCCACACCCCCTCCCTGTCCCTGATGCTGTCCCCCCCGGCTGCCCGGGGCACAGAGCGCCCGAGGGGCAGAGGCAGGGCAGGGCTGCAGGGGGGCTGTCTCCCTGCAGCCAGCATGGAGGGGACCTGCTGGAGCAGAGCTGGGGCCCCGTGGCAGGAGCCACCTCTCAGGCACACACGCTGCTCCAGCGCTGTGACCAGGCACGGCAGCGGCAGCAGCGGGCAGCACCTCAAGGGCCCTGGGGCAGCAGTGGGATTGTGCCTCTCGCCCCCAATCCTGGGAGTCCCCATGACACTGGTCAGTACTGGTGCCCCAGCCAGCAAAGTAAGAGATGGATTCTGCCTCAGCGTGGAGCACAGCAGTGGGTAATGTGGCCCTGGAGAATGGCACGTGCCCACATGCTGTACATCCCATCCCCAAAGGACAGGGGACGGGCACAGACCTGGGGCTCTAAGGGACGGCTGAGCTGAGACAGCAGGCACAGCCACCTGCAGCACAGGGCAGGAAGGGCAGGGACATGGCGTGGACTTCGCCACCAGCAAACGGGGAAAACAGACACACCAAAGTGCCTCCTTCACTGGTTGAAGGTTTTGTACCACGTCCCCATTGGTCTGTGTCAACGAGGCACCATAAATGTTACTGCTGTCTTCGCTACCACAGTAATAGACAGCCTCGTCCTCGGCTTGGACCCCAGTGATGGTTAACGTGCCCGTGGAGCCAGACTTGGTTCCGGAGAAGCGCGAAGGGATGCCCGAGGGTCTCTTGTCATTGTAGTAGATCACGGTGACAGGGGCAGTGCCAGGGACCTTCTGCTGGAACCAAGCATAGTTGCTGCTACCCCCAGAGCAGGTGATCTGGACAGTTTGTCCCGGGTTCGCTGACACTGAGGGTGGCTGAGTCAGCGCTGCCTGGACCAGGGAACCTGGAGAGGGAGAAGCAAAAAAATGGGGGTCAGCCAGTGCCCCAGGAGCACAGACCTCCATGGGCAGCGGGACAGGGATCGGGCCGCTGCTCCTGAAGGAAATTATTCCAGAGTGCAACGGAGATCCCTCTACAGAGAGCCAAGGCCAGAATGTGGGACTCTTGCAGAGAGAGAAGGCATCAGCAAGAGGACAGAGAATGCCAAAATCAGTGCCTCCATCACACCGACCCATACTTCTGCTGCCGTCCCAGTTACCACAGTAATAGACAGCCTCGTCCTCCGCTTGGACCCCAGTGATGGTTAACGTGCCTGTGGAGCCAGACTGGGATCCGGAGAAGCGCGAAGGGATGCCCGAGGGTCTCTTGTTATTGTCGTAGATCACGGTGACAGGGGCAGTGCCAGGGACCTTCTGCTGGTACCAGCCATAGCCATACCTGCTGCTACCCCCAGAGCAGGTGATCTGGACGGTTTGTCCCGGGTTCGCTGACACCGAGGGCGGCTGAGTCAGCGCTGCCTGGACCAGGGAACCTGGAGAGGGAGAGGAGAGAGGGGAGAAGACGCGGGTCAGCCAGTGCCCCTTGAGCACAGCCCTCCCCGGGCAGCGGGACAGGGATCGGGCCCCTGTGCCCCCTGTCCCCGGCCGGGCGCAGCCAGTCTGTCCAGGGCACCTGAGCTGTGGGCGAGCACCGCGAGGAGGAGAGCGGCCAAGGCCATGGCGCGATCCCACCAGCTCCGTGTCCCTTCCACAACATGGCTCCTTCCTCAATGTGGCTGCTGAGCGCTGAGCTCAGCCGGGGCCCTCAACCGGGCCTGTCCCTGCCCAGGAGGACCGTGGCCTCTCTGCAGCGGGAACTCCTGCGCACAGGGCAGGGACAGCCACCCCTTGGCACGAGGACTCGTCTGCCTGCCTGGAGCACCCAGCTCTGCTCGGCACTTGCTTCTCCCGGGGCGGCCGTGCTACCCGCTCGCTGCTCAGCACCGGCGACGCAGCAGCTGGGAAAACCCAGTCCTGCCTCCGACTGGGCACCGCAGCCGGGCCCCCGGTAAGTGCCGCAAGCGCCTGCAGAGCACACCACTGTGCTTCTGAAGGAGGCTGCAACCACACGGAGACCAGGCGCTTCAAAGCTTCCCAGCAGCAAGGAAACACAAGCCCCCCGCTCCTCCGTCTACCAAGGGAGCTGGGGGTCTCCAGCGGCTCCACGGCAACCGCAAAGACCCTTGGGCTGGAGTTCTCTCAAGCCAGAGCACGTAGCCTCCTCCCAACCTTGACTGGCCACGGGCAGCCCCTCGGCTACCTGCCCACAGCTCGGGCCACAGCAGCCTCCCAAGGGCTCTGCTGGGACTGCCCCGTGCCAGGCTGTCACCCACCGGCACCCGGCTGTGCCCAGCCCCTTGGCCTCCTGGCTGCCCCGGGAACCTCAGGCCGGTGCTGCGGAGCCACACTGACACCCTGTGGGGACGAGAAGGCCCTCGGGGACAGCACTGGAGGAAATGACACCAGAGCCCAGCACAGGGCTCTGCCCACACTCTCCCTCACGCTGACCACAGCTTCCCCCAGCTCCAGAGGCACCGCCAGCCCCTGCCACGACCTTCACGGCTTCTGCATGGCCCCCTGCCCAAGGCACCCCGTGCGTCCCGGGGACAGCCTTGCACAAGGGCACAGGGCCCTTAGGCACAGTTGCTGTCACCAGACCAGGGTGGGCATCAGCCCTGAATTGGCCGAGAGGCCAGGGACCAGAGCATGAGGCCCAGAGAGGACGGCAGGCTTTCTCTGGGAAACACCACCAGCCCCAGCACGAGACATTTTGCAGGAAGGAGCCGCCAGGCACATCACCAGCCGGCGCTGCCGCGAGCCGTGCCACTTCCACACCCTCCAGCATCACCGTCACCATCGCTGCCACCCTCGTACAGCAGACAGGAACAGTCAACCCAGAGCACCCAACCACGGCCTTGCTGGGGGCCGCTGGGTGCTGAGCAGCACTGCTCTCTCGACCACCACAGTAATAGACAGCCTCGTCCTCGGCTTGGACCCCAGTGATGGTTAACGTGCCCGTGGAGCCAGACTGGGATCCGGAGAAGCGCGAAGGGATGCCCGAGGGTCTGTTGCTATTCTGATAGATCACAGTGAGAGGGGCAGTGCCAGGGACCTTCTGCTGGAACCAGCCATAGCCATAGCTGCTCCCAGAGCAGGTGATCTGGACGGTTTGTCCCGGGTTCGCTGACACCGAGGGCGGCTGAGTCAGCGCTGCCTGGACCAGGGAACCTGGAGAGGGAGAGGAGAGAGGGGAGAAGACGCGGGTCAGCCAGTGCCCCTCCAGCACAGCCCTCCCTGGGCAGCGGGACAGGGATCGGGCCCCTGTGCCCCCCGTCCCCGGCCGGGCGCAGCCAGTCTGTCCAGGGCACCTGAGCTGTGGGTGAGCACCGCGAGGAGGAGAGCGGCCAAGGCCATGGCGCGATCCCACCAGCTCCGTGTCCCCACGCCGATGGGGCTGTGCCGTCCACCCTGACTCCCTTTTAAGCCCCCACCCGCCCGGGCATGGCCCCTCCATGCAAATCTCACCCCGCGCTCACAGCCCCATCCCGACCCTGTCTCCCTCCCCACCTCCCGCCCCGCTCCACGCCCAGCCCCACCACCCCAGATGCAGCGGGGCTTGTCCCCGGGCACAGAGCGGAGACAAGTCCCAGCTCAGAGCCAAAACCCACCAGTATGGACACCACATCCCCAGACTGGGCCGAGCAGCGCCAGGGCCAAAGGGCACGGGACAGCCGGGCTCCTGAAGGAAAAGGGGCAAGTGGCACTCCCACATCCCCCCACGGGTTGTGGGGAGCAGACAAGCTGCTGCCTGTGCCAGGGATGGCAGGACAAGGGCTTTCCAGGGCTACTGCCACTGGGGTGGGTTTTTGGGTTCCAGCTGGGCCCAACAGAGCACTCCGGTGGTGAAAGGGATGGGAAGAGGCAGGAGTAAAGCCCCCATTCCATCCCTGCAAGATCCTCAGCTGAACATTGTCTCTGACTGATGAGCACCCAGGACCTGAACCTGGAGTGGGCGAGCGGAGCGGGGCTGGGAGCGGGTCTCGTTGGGGCGGCACACAGTAGACTGGTCCCCAGGGGACCGACCGCAGGGTGATGGTGCAGGCCTGCCTGAGTGTTCCTGGCCCATCCCATGGAGCATGGCCCCCAGCCCACCCCACAGTCCTGGGCACAGACCTTGGGGATGAGGCCACCCGGGAGCCAGCTGCCCACATAACAGACACTGACACCACAAACGCAGACCCCGCAGGGCCAGCACCCTCCCCCAGAGCCTGGCACTATCACACCCTCGATGCCCACCCTAGTCCTGTCACACACGTGGGCACACGGGAAATGTCACTGCTGAAAACAAGCAGCAGCCCGTGACACGGGGGAGCTGGAGCCCTTGTCCCCAGAGGTATCCCCGGTGCCCGTATCCTGCAACGCAGTGGTAACAGGGTCAGCAGGGTGCTGGGCAGCCCCTTGCTGTCTTGGGGCTGTAGTGGGACACTGGCCAGGGCCAGAGCTGCTGGGGGGGGCTGCTGCACAGGCTGAGCACGAGCCCAAGGAGCCGGCACTGGGCAAACACAGCCAGCGCTGGAGCCCCCGCGGGTTCCTCTTGCAGCACAACAGAGAATCCCCCGGGCAGCCCTGCTCTGCCCCAGTAGCCTCACACATGGCCCTGGAGCTGCCGTGCCCACGGGAAATGCCCCATGCCAGGCTTTGAAGGCAAAGCTTTGGCCCAGCTGCCTGGCCCCTGGTATGTTCCCCCCTCTTGCTGCTGGGGCCGCACTTCCACATCAGGGCTGAACCCCCCGCGGGATGCCCCAGGGCTCCTGGCACAGCTGGGCTGGCAGGAGGGCAGGGAGGCACTCGCAGGGTCCGAGTGCCAGCCGGGGAGAGCAGGGGACCTGAGACTCCCAGGGCTGCTGGGGGTCATCTCGTCCCCAAAGGACAGGGAACGGGCACAGAGCTGGGGCTCTAAGGGACGACCGAGCTGGGACAGCAGGCACAGCCACCTGCAGCACAGGGCAGCAAGGACAAGAGCATGGCAGGGACCAGACCCACCAGCAAATGGGGACAAGAGAGACTCCTATCTGGCCCCTTCACTGGTGGGAGGTTTTTGTATCACTTCCCCATTTTCCTGTGCCACCGTGGCACCAGTATAGCTGCTGTCGTAGCTACCACAGTAATAGACAGCCTCGTCCTCGGCTTGGACCCCAGTGATGGTTAACGTGGCTGTGGAGCCTGACTTGGATCCGGAGAAGCGCGAAGGGATGCCCGAGGGTCTGTTGGTGCTCCAGTAGATCACGGTGACAGGGGCAGTGCCAGGGACCTTCTGCTGGTACCAGCCAACGTAGCTGCTGCTACCCCCAGAGCAGGTGATCTGGACAGTTTGTCCCGGGTTCGCTGACACCGAGGGCGGCTGAGTCAGTGCTGCCTGGACCAGGGAACCTGGAGAGGGAGAGGAGAGAGGGGAGAAGACGCGGGTCAGCCAGTGCCCCTCGAGCACAGCCCTCCCCGGGCAGTGGGACTGGACCCCCGCACCCAAAGGACACAATATCACAGTAGGACCCAGAGTCCAAGGGCAGAAGAAGGAAAACTCGCAGCTGCAAGAGGAACTCCCTGAGGGGTGGCTGTAGCCCCTCCCCAGGCAGTGGCATAGGTCTCTGTGCCCAAAGGCCATGATGCCACAGAGGGACACAGAGCCCAGTGCCAGAGCACGAGGGTCCTGCGAGGAGAACCAGCAGCACAAAGAGGATGGAACGGACAGTCGGTGCTTCCATTATGGTGACCAGCATTGCTGCTGCTGTCCCAGCCACCACAGCAATAGACAGCCTCGTCCTCGGCTTGGACCCCAGTGATGGTTAACGTGGCTGTGGAGCCAGACTGGGATCCGGAGAAGCGCGAAGGGATGCCCGAGGGTCTCTTGTTATTGGTGTAGATCACGGTGAGAGGGGCAGTGCCAGGGACCTTCTGCTGGTACCAGCCATAGTAGTTGATGCTACCCCCAGAGCAGGTGATCTGGACGGTTTGTCCCGGGTTCGCTGACATTGAGGGCAGCTGATTCAGCACTGCCTGGACCAGGGAACCTGGAGAGGGAGAGGAGAGAGGGGAGAAGACGTGGGTCAGCCAGTGCCCCTCCAGCACAGCCCTCCCCGGGCAGCGGGACAGGGATCAGGCCCCTGTGCCCCCCGTCCCCGGCCGGGCGCAGCCAGTCTGTCCAGGGCACCTGAGCTGTGGGCGAGCACCGCGAGGAGGAGAGCGGCCAAGGCCATGGCGCGATCCCACCAGCTCCGTGTCCCCACGCCGATGGGGCTGTGCCGTCCACCCTGACTCCCTTTTAAGCCCCCACCCGCCCGGGCACGGCCCCTCCATGCAAATCTCACCCCGCGCTCACAGCCCCATCCCGACCCTGTCTCCCTCCCCACCTCCCGCCCCGCTCCACGCCCAGCCCCACCACCCCAGATGCAGCGGGGCTTGTCCCCGGGCACAGAGCGGAGACAAGTCCCAGCTCAGAGCCAAAACCCACCAGTATGGACACCACATCCCCAGACTGGGCCGAGCAGCGCCAGGGCCAAAGGGCACGGGACAGCCGGGCTGGAGGGGGCAAAGAGGGGCAGGCAGCACTCGCAACTCCCAGTGATGGGGCTGGGACCACACCAACCGACAGCTCTCCCCACCCCACTTTCAGCCTCTTTCTCTCCTGCGGGTGTCCCAGCTCCCTAAGGTACCCTTGTGCTCTGCTGCTTTTCTGCCCTGGCTCTTCCCCTGCCCACCCAGGCCAGCACTCAAGACCCTTGCTCTTCCGAACCATCCACTTCCCAGCACAACAGGACCTGTCTGGCACCGCGCCCCGGGGGCTCCAGCAATGCCACCCCTTGAGTCACGAGCCCAAGGGGCCGGTGCTGGGCCAACGCAGCCAGAGCCGGGGTAGCTCAGGGGCTCTGCTCACAGACAGTGGGGCAGCCCCTGGCCGGCCCCGCTCCAACCCAGGGCACAGGGATCGTGGTCGTCTTGGGCAGCCTGGCCCAAATTAACCCCACACCCCCTCCCTGTCCCTGATGCTGTCCCCCCCGGCTGCCCGGGGCACAGAGCGCCCGAGGGGCAGAGGCAGGGCAGGGCTGCAGGGGGGCTGTCTCCCTGCAGCCAGCATGGAGGGGACCTGCTGGAGCAGAGCTGGGGCCCCGTGGCAGGAGCCACCTCTCAGGCACACACGCTGCTCCAACGCTGTGACCAGGCACAGCAGCGGCAGCAGCGGGCAGCACCTCAAGGGCCCTGGGGCAGCAGTGGGATTGTGCCTCTCGCCCCCAATCCTGGGAGTCCCCATGACACTGGTCAGTACTGGTGCCCCAGCCAGCACAGTAAGAGATGGATTTTGCCTCAGCGTGGAGCACAGCAGTGGGTAATGTGGCCCTGGAGAATGGCACGTGCCCACATGCTGTACATCCCATCCCCAAAGGACAAGGGACGGGCACAGACCTGGGGCTCTAAGGGACGGCAGAGCCGAGACAGCAGGCACAGCCACCTGCAGCACAGGGCAGGAAGGGCAGGGACATGGCGTGGACTTCGCCACCAGCAAACGGGGAAAACAGACACACCAAAGTGCCTCCTTCACTGGTTTAAGATTTTTGTAAAACTTCCCCATTGGTCTGTGTCAACGAGGCACCATGAATGTTGCTGCTGTCTTCACTACCACAGTAATAGACAGCCTCGTCCTCGGCTTGGACCCCAGTGATGGTTAATGTGGCTGTGGAGCCTGACAAGGATCCGGAGAAGCGCGAAGGGATGCCCGAGGGTCTGTTGGTGCTCCAGTAGATCAAAGTGACAGGGGCAGTGCCAGGGACCTTCTGCTGGTACCAGCCAACATAGCTGCCGCTGATCCCAGAGCAGGTGATCTGGACGGTTTGTCCCAGGTTCGCTGACATTGAGGGCAGCTGATTCAGCGCTGCCTGGACCAGGGAACCTGGAGAGGGAGAGGAGAGAGGGGAGAAGACGCGGGTCAGCCAGTGCCCCTCGAGCACAGCCCTCCCCGGGCAGCGGGACAGGGATCGGGCCCCTGTGCCCCCCGTCCCCGGCCGGGCGCAGCCAGTCTGTCCAGGGCACCTGAGCTGTGGGCGAGCACCGCGAGGAGGAGAGCGGCCAAGGCCATGGCGCGATCCCACCAGCTCCGTGTCCCCACGCCGATGGGGCTGTGCCGTCCACCCTGACTCCCTTTTAAGCCCCCACCCGCCCGGGCACGGCCCCTCCATGCAAATCTCACCCTGGGCTTAGGGTTGGGTCCAGCGTGGACCACCCAGAGCAGAGATGGGCTGGGGCAGCACCGGCTGCAGACAGCTTTGGGTACGTGACATAGGGCAGCACCAATGCCCTTCTGTGCCCCCATTCCCAGATGTCGGTAGCGACAGATCCCCCCATTCCCCCTCCTTCCCTCATCTCCAGGTGCAGCCTTTCCCCCTGCCTGGCCCTTCTGCCCAGTCATGGCCTGATGCGAGCGGAGGAGGTGGTGCCCAGCCTCACCACTTCCAGCTCTGCACCGCAGCCCAGTGCCCTTGGGATGGGCTCAGGCCTCTCACGGGCAATCCCCAGGGCACATGGCAGTGGCTGTGGGGCAGCCCCTGTGGGCAGGGTCCCTGCACTTGGTCCCACAGGCTGCCCTGGCATGCAGCCCTTGGTAGGCTCTCAGCTGTCTAGGCTTCCCACTAGCAGGGCTTTGCCCCCCAAACTCCTCATCCCAGGGTTTGAAGGTGAAGCTTTGTCCTTCCCCCTGCGCTGCCAGCACAGTCCTGACTCTCTGCGACAGGGCCGCCGTTTCAGCAGGCTGAACTCCACCACGGCGATGCCTGGGAGCAGGGCAGAGACCTTGCTGCAGGCAGGTCCTGCCCGAGCACGGCCAGGGGCCCCTCACCTGCAGCCCAGCTCAGCTGGGCTCCCCCAGCCCACACGCAGCCATGCCGGCCACCCCAACCCACGGCAGCACCCACAGCTCCTCAGCCCACACCTCTCCCTGCACAGGCCAGGAACGTCCCTGCAGCACAAGGGCCTCAACCACAGCCCAGCGCTGCCACGCTCCCTCCCAGTCGCACGGCTCCAGAAGGAGCCCGGTGGCTGCAGGAGCCATCGGACATTGCTGTGCCAGTGCTCGCACAGAGCTCTGCCAGCTGGATGCCCCCCGGCCAGGGAGAAGCCCACCAGCAGCCAGAGAACCTGACAGCAGCTCCAGGAGCATGTAAGGGGGGGGGTAGGGAGCAGCTGCCATCAAGAAGAGGGTCTTGCTGCAGCCAGGGAAAGGGGCAGGAGAAGGGCTGCTGGGGTCATCGATAGCTCAAGTGACGGGGGACGGGCACAGAGCTGGGGCTCTAACAACGGCTGAGCCGGGACAGCGGGCACAGCCACCTGCAGCACAGGGCAGCAAGGGCAGGGACATGGCTGGGACATTGAGACCAACAAACGGGTATAAAAAAAGAGACTCCGAACTGGCCCCTGCAATGGTGGGAGGTTTTGGTATCGCTTCCCCATTGCTCTTTGTCAACAGGGCACCATAGCTGCTGCTGTCGTCCCAGCTACCACAGTAATAGACAGCCTCGTCCTCGGCTTGGACCCCAGTGATGGTTAACGTGCCCGTGGTGCCAGACTGGGATCCGGAGAAGCGCGAAGGGATGCCCGAGGGTCTCTTGTCATTCCAGTAGATCACGGTGACAGGGACCTTCTGTTGGTACCAGCCATAGCCATAGCCGCTGCTACCCCCAGAGCAGGTGATCTGGACGGTTTGTCCCGGGTTCGCTGACACCGAGGGCGGCTGAGTCAGCACTGCCTGGACCAGGGAACCTGGAGAGGGAGAGGAGAGAGGGGAGAAGACGCGGGTCAGCCAGTGCCCCTCCAGCACAGCCCTCCCCGGGCAGCGGGACTGGACCCCCGCACCCAAAGGACACAATACCACAGTACCACCCAGAGTCCAAGGGCAGAAGAAGGAAAACTCACAGCTGCAAGAGGAACTCCCTGAGGGGTGGCTGTAGCTCCTCCCCAGGCAGTGGCATAGGTCTCTGTGCCCAAAGGCCATGATGCCACAGAGGGGTACAGAGCCCAGTGCCAGAGCACGAGGGTCCTGCGAGGAGAACCAGCAGCACAAAGAGGATGGAACGGACAGTCGGTGCTTCCATTATGGTGACCAGCATTGCTGCTGCTGTCCCAGCCACCACAGTAATAGACAGCCTCGTCCTCGGCTTGGACCCCAGTGATGGTTAACGTGCCCGTGGAGCCAGACTTGGATCCGGAGAAGCGCGAAGGGATGCCCGAGGGTCTCTTGTTATTGGTGTAGATCACGGTGACAGGGGCAGTGCCAGGGACCTTCTGCTGGTACCAGCCATAGTAGTTGATGCTACCCCCAGAGCAGGTGATCTGGACGGTTTGTCCCGGGTTCGCTGACACCGAGGGCGGCTGAGTCAGCGCTGCCTGGACCAGGGAACCTGGAGAGGGAGAGGAGAGAGGGGAGAAGACGCGGGTCAGCCAGTGCCCCTCGAGCACAGCCCTCCCTGGGCAGCGGGACTGGACCCCAGTGCCACAAGGCCATAATGCCATGGTAGGACCCAGAGACCAAGGCCAGAACATCAGGGTCCAGGAAGGAAAACTAGCAGAAAAGAGGAGGAGGACGCCAAGGCCAGTGCCTACATCACACTGACCAGCACTGCTGCTGCTGTCGTAGCTACCACAGTAATAGACAGCCTCGTCCTCGGCTTGGACCCCAGTGATGGTTAACGTTCCCGTGGAGCCAGACTTGGATCCGGAGAAGCGTGAAGGGATGTCCGAGGGTCTCTTGTTATTGTAGTAGATCACGGTGACAGGGGCAGTGCCAGGGACCTTCTGCTGATACCAGCCATAGTCGCTGCTGCTACTCCCAGAGCAGGTGATCTGGACGGTTTGTCCCAGGTTCGCTGACATTGAGGGCGGCTGATTCAGCGCTGCCTGGACCAAGGAACCTGGAGAGGGAGAGGAGAGAGGGGAGAAGAAACAGGTCAGCCAGTGCCCCTCCAGCACAGCCCTCCCCGGGCAGCGGGACAGGGATCGGGCCCCTGAGCACCCCGTCCCCGGCCGGGCGCAGCCAGTCTGTCCAGGGCACCTGAGCTGTGGGCGAGCACCGCGAGGAGGAGAGCGGCCAAGGCCATGGCGCGATCCCACCAGCTCCGTGTCCCCACGCCGATGGGGCTGTGCCGTCCACCCTGACTCCCTTTTAAGCCCCCACCCGCCCGGGCACGGCCCCTCCATGCAAATCTCACCCTGGGCTTAGGGTTGGGTCCAGCGTGGACCACCCAGAGCAGAGATGGGCTGGGGCAGCACCGGCTGCAGACAGCTTTGGGTACGTGGCATAGGGCAGCACCAATGCCCTTCTGTGCCCCCATTCCCAGATGTCGGTAGCGACAGATCCCCCCATTCCCCCTCCTTCCCTCATCTCCAGGTGCAGCCTTTCCCCCTGCCTGGCCCTTCTCCTGCCCAGTCATGGCCTGGGGCAAGCGGAGGAGATGGTGCCCAGCCTCACCACTTCTAGCTCTGCACCGCAGCCCAGTGCCCTTGGGATGGGCTCAGGCCTCTCACGGGCAATCCCCAGGGCACATGGCAGTGGCTGTGGGGCAGCCCCTGTGGGCAGGGTCCCTGCACATGGTCCCACAGGCTGCCCTGGCATGCAGCCCTTGGTAGGCTCTCAGCTGTCTAGGCTTCCCACTAGCAGGGCTTTGCCCCCCAAACTCCTCATCCCAGGGTTTGAAGGTGAAGCTTTGTCCTTCCCCCTGCGCTGCCAGCACAGTCCTGACTCTCTGCGACAGGGCCGCCGTTTCAGCAGGCTGAACTCCACCACGGCGATGCCTGGGAGCAGGGCAGAGACCTTGCTGCAGGCAGGTCCTGCCCGAGCACGGCCAGGGGCCCCTCACCTGCAGCCCAGCTCAGCTGGGCTCCCCCAGCCCACACGCAGCCATGCCGGCCACCCCAACCCACGGCAGCACCCACAGCTCCTCAGCCCACACCTCTCCCTGCACAGGCCAGGAACGTCCCTGCAGCACAAGGGCCTCAACCACAGCCCAGCGCTGCCACGCTCCCTCCCAGTCGCACGGCTCCAGAAGGAGCCCGGTGGCTGCAGGAGCCATCGGACATTGCTGTGCCAGTGCTCGCACAGAGCTCTGCCAGCTGGATGCCCCCCGGCCAGGGAGAAGCCCACCAGCAGCCAGAGAACCTGACAGCAGCTCCAGGAGCATGTAAGGGGGGGGGTAGGGAGCAGCTGCCATCAAGAAGAGGGTCTTGCTGCAGCCAGGGAAAGGGGCAGGAGAAGGGCTGCTGGGGTCATCGATAGCTCAAGTGACGGGGGACGGGCACAGAGCTGGGGCTCTAACAACGGCTGAGCCGGGACAGCGGGAACAGCCACCTGCAGCACAGGGCAGCAAGGGCAGGGACATGGCTGGGACACTGACACCAACAAACGGGTATAAAAAAAAGAGACTCCGAACTGGCCCCTGCAATGGTGGGAGGTTTTGGTATCGCTTCCCCATTGCTCTTTGTCAACAGGGCACCATAGCTGCTGCTGTCGTCCCAGCTACCACAGTAATAGACAGCCTCGTCCTCGGCTTGAACCCCAGTGATGGTTAACGTGCCCGTGTAGCCAGACTGGGATCCGGAGAAGCGTGAAGGGATGCCCGAGGGTCTGTTGTTATTGTAGTAGATCACAGTGACAGGGACCTTCTGCTGGTACCAGCCATAGCCATAGCCGCTGCTACCCCCAGAGCAGGTGATCTGGACGGTTTGTCCCAGGTTCGCTGACACCGAGGGCGGCTGAGTCAGCGCTGCCTGGACCAGGGAACCTGGAGAGGGAGAGGAGAGAGGGGAGAAGACGCGGGTCAGCCAGTGCCCCTCGAGCACAGCCCTCCCCGGGCAGCGGGACAGGGATCGGGCCCCTGTGCCCCCCGTCCCCGGCCGGGCGCAGCCAGTCTGTCCAGGGCACCTGAGCTGTGGGCGAGCACCGCGAGGAGGAGAGCGGCCAAGGCCATGGCGCGATCCCACCAGCTCCGTGTCCCCACGCCGATGGGGCTGTGCCGTCCACCCTGACTCCCTTTTAAGCCCCCACCCGCCCGGGCACGGCCCCTCCATGCAAATCTCACCCCGCGCTCACAGCCCCATCCCGACCCTGTCTCCCTCCCCACCTCCCGCCCCGCTCCACGCCCAGCCCCACCACCCCAGATGTAGCGGGGCTT